CTTTTCTTTGGGGGGGGCGCTTTTTATGAGAGAGGGTCTCTTTTAGTGGGGCTGGCTTGGAGCTCACTATGTAGACCAGGCTGGCCTTGAACTCACAGAGATCCACCTGCCTCTGCCTCCCAAGTGCTGGGACTAAGGCGTGCGCCACCACGCCCGGCCATAGCTGCTTTTGTTATCATGGCTGACATGCCAAGGAGCTTTCCTTGGGCTTATCCCCTTGAGGTTGGTGACATTCTTTGGTGTGTGGGTCCCTGGCCATTCCTCTCTTCTTGTGTTATTCTTTTCTCTAGCCCTCCCCTATGTCTCTGAGTGTCATATCACACTCATAAGGCCCCTTGAGTGATCTGTCTCTCCTCTCTCTGCAATGAAGGGAGATGGTGGTGCGTGGATGACACAGCATAAATGTGGAGGTCAAAGCACAACTTTGTACAGTTAGTTCTCCCCTTCCATCTGTATGGAAACAGACTTGAAGACCACCGACCAGACAACCCCATGTGGAGAGCAGCAATTAATTTGAAAGCAAACAGAGCACTGGGTTGCCTCTTGGGAGCAGAGAAACAGCAGCAAGCAGGGGCAGTCGGACATCTTTTATAGGCAGTTAGGTGGTTGGGTAACTTTCCATGACGTAGGCTGGGCAGTTTAGCTCAGGACTGGTTGGTCTCCCAATAAATGGAGGGACTTTCCTGGGGCTAAGTTCAAACCTGCCATTTTAGGAGCCTGCCAGGAACCTAGCACCATTTTTCTGTGGGTTTCAGGAATTGAGTTCAGATCATGAGGTTTGTAGGGTAAGCACATTTACCTGCTGCTGTTGCATCAGCCCCTTTTATCACTTTTTTTCCCTCATAGTGTAGCCCAGGTTGGCCTCAAACTTATGATCTTCCTGCCTCTACATCACCATGTCTGGCTCAGATATCTTTTTAAAAATTAAACATGTTTTTATTTTCCATTTGCATTTCTTTTTTCAGATTTTTTAAAAACTTTTTTTTCCTGTTTTTCAGTTTAGATAATCCATATTTTCTCTCTCTTTTTACTTTATATTGTGTGTGTCTGTGTGTGCGCACATGTACAGGCGCACAAACACACCACAGCACATCCGTAGAGGTCAGGATTTGCAGGAGTCAATTCTCTCCTTCTACCATGTGGATTCTGATGATCAAACTCAGGCCATCAGTTCCGGCAGCAAATGCCTTTTATCCACTGAGTCATATTTTATCACCTTCAAGTTCATGGGTTCTTTCACCCAATTAATTCATTCCTGATGCCATATATATATTAATATATATTTTTTTAATTACATTTTTTTGTTGTTGTTTGGTCTTTTTGAGACAGGGTCTCCCTGTAGCCCCAGCTGTCCTGGAACTCACTATGTAGACTTGAACTCACAGAGATCTGCCTGCCTCTGCCTCCCGAGTGCTGGGATTGAAGGCGTGCACAACCATGCCTGGTGATGCCATATTTTTAAATTTAGGATTTCCTTTTGGCATTTTATAGCTTTCACGTATCCGCTAAAATTTCTGGTCTGCTCATTCATGCTACCTACCTTTTCTAACACACAGTCACGACTTGAGCTCCTTCTGACCACAGCTCCTGTGCCACTTCTCCAGGTCAGCTGCGACCAGTGCGTCCTCCTCATGTGTAAGACAAAAAATTTTCAGCCCCAGCTGACCTGAAACTCACTATGTAGACCAGACTGACCTCACAGAGACCCATCTGCCTTGGTCTCCCAACTGCTGGGATTTAAGGAATGGCTACCATGCCTGACATATGTCTAGTAACTTAATTTCATGCTACTCACTGTGTGGATAAAGACCTGTAGAGACAGCATAAACACTATCTGCCAAAGGACAAGCTTCCTTCTTGGTCAGGATACTCTTGTAACATGTTGAATCAATACATCTGCAATTGAACAGCTAAGTATGGGCTCTACTGTGACTTTAGTTAGGTTCTATTCACCATGAGCCGTAAATATCCTGCAAGTGCGATTAGAACTTCCCCTCAGGGAACCCAGGGTCTGAGTGCTGGTGAGATGGAAGTCCAGGTCTCTCCAGGCTTCACAGCTTGAGCACCAGCGTCTTGGTGGTCTCTCTCTGCTTCCAGCCTAGCTGGGACTGGCTGCTCCTAACTTGGTTTTCGGTGACCCTGTACACTTCTTTCTGCTCTCTGTCCCAGGCTTCTTGGCTTTACTAACCCTTTGATGGAGTCAGAAAAACAAGCAATACCCCTGTGCCCTGCCCAGCTGTTCCCAATGCTGCAGTGGCCCGGGGCCATGCTCTCTGGGCAGACTTGTCCTCTGAGCATCCACAGCCTGTGGGGAGGCCAGTCGTGGAAGGTTGATTTCAGCGACTGGTCAGAGCAAATTGCGTCAGGGCTGTGATTTCCATCTGCCCGGGAGTGATGTCCTCGCTCTTAATGCCACTTAGCTCAACTCTCAGAACACTCGGTGTGAATGAATTTTTTACTACAATAAAAATAGATTTATTATCCTCTGAAATGGGGTGCCTCTTCTGCTCTCCAAGGGTTGTCACTCATTTCTAACACCCCATAATGTTCCTCCCTGAGTTATGGACATCTTTTCATCCCAAGTCACCAGTACACTCGGTATTTCTGTTTATGTTACTCATTTAAGTTACAGACATAATTTTAATTAGAATATTTTGAGCCAAGTGTGGTGGTGCATGCCTGTAATTCCAGCACTCCAGAGACTGAGGTAGGAGAATTGGGCTACATAGCAGGCTACTAATAACAATTTTAAAAATTTCTTCATAAAATATAATGAAACAGAAAAATTAGTGCAAACCTCTCCTCAGAGTTCTCTTCTGTAGACTGCAAGCACTCCAGTGTGTAGGGCTCAACACTTTAATATTCTTTTTTTTTGCTATTGGAGAATTCAGATTATGTGGCACTGTTTCCAAGCAGTTTACCCTTGTCCCAGAGCTCTCTGGGCCTGCATCCGGGCTCATGGCACATGCCATGTGGGGCAAAGAATCTACAGGATGGAGGGGACATACTCAGCTCAGACACCTGAAACTTCAGAGTTCCCTATGACTAGAGAGTGTTCCTAGGGCCTAGGAGTGCTGTCCTCCTGATGCTAACCTCATAGAGTATGTATACTCATGAGCTCCAGAGGCAGCCTTGGCCCAGCTGCTTGTGAGACTGTGGACAGTGTTTGGACACGTGTGTTCATACCCCCAAGAACAAGAAGGAGCTGAGGGGTTGGAGAGACAGTGGTTAAGGGAGCTTTTGGCTCTTCCAGAGGCCTGTATTTAGTTCTCAGCACTCAAAGCCACCTGTAACTCCAGTTCTAGGGGATCTGAAGCCCTCTTCTGACCTTTGCAGGTACATGGTGCACTCCTGTAGGGACACACATATACGCATAAATAAAATTAAGTAAATAGTTGGGTGTGGTAGCACACGTCTTTAATCCCAGCATCCAGGAAGCAGAGGCAGGCAGATCTCTAAGAGTTTGAGGCCAGCTTGATCTACATAGCAAGTTCCAGCAGAGTTACATAGTGAAACCGTGTCTTTAAAAAAAAAACATATATAAAAAATAAAAAAATTAAAAAAAAAGGCTTTAGACAAAAAGGAGCTGGGATGGAGAGATGGCTCAGCAGTTAAGAGCACTCGTTCTTGCAGAAGACCCAGGTTCGAATCCCAGCACCCATCTAGTGGCTAACCACCGTCTATAACCCCAGTTCCAGGGTATCCGACACCTTCTCTCCTCCGTGGGCACTGCACATCAGGGGTGCACTAGCGCACATGCATATCATACATATGTTACATTTATTTTATAAAATTAAAAAGGGAGGGGAAAAGGCAGGAGTGAGAAGTGAGGCAGGCCAGCAGCGGGCTGAGCTCTCTGCCACCATGCTCCAAACTGCAATGTCAAGGAGTTCCAGAATATTCCATTTCACCTTGCCTGTGTGACTACTAGGAAGGACATCTGTCAGAGGGCATGCTCAGGGCCATCAGTTATAGTTTGATGACACTGAACCCAGACCAGTGGTATGGGCCTCCCTGCCCTGCTTGAGCTCTGTGTGGCAGACCAACCTGGCCTCAGAGCCAATGCTCCCCATGACCATGTCAGTACCACCAAGGAGAGCTGTCTTCCCCAGCCAACAGCTTAGGGATATTCTTATGTCCAGTGGGTTCATGTAAGATGGTTAGTTTATGGTTGGCAGTAGATGTCAAACTTTTTGTGTGTGATTCTCTCTACTGGTGCAGAGAGCTACATCTCAGATAAATGTAATTGTTCCAAAGATTTTCTTACTTTAACTCAACAGAGGACTTGTCAAAAACTGTTTTAAAGGAGGTCATCTTCAGCTTGGACCTGTGGAAATGGGAGGGAAAGAGGCTGTCCGTTGGGAGACCCAGCTCAGCCTTAATGGGTGGGACTCCACTTCTCACCTTTCCCCATAGGGCATCAACCTCTCCATTTTAAAACAGGATCGAGGCAATTCCCCAATTGAGACTCCTTCAGATAACTCTGAGCTGTGTCAGGTTGATAGTGGAACCTAACTAGGAGAACACCAAATAAGGAATTTTGGACAATGGAGATCAGCACAAGGGTTAGGCATCACAAGGCCATGAGCACAGGACAGCCAGTATTTCTTCCAGAACCTTCTGCCCAGCTTGCTCCCACATGCCCTCCTGGGATACCAACTGTGTAGATGTTGGGCCATTTGACACTGTAGTCATCATGATGAGGACAGAGCAATGAAGAACAGGCAGAGCTAGTCCACTCTGCAGGGACATTTCTGTGGCTGCAGGTGCAAATGACAGATGTCAGACATCTTGCAGATGTCTCTGCAAGAGTGTGAGAACAAGTGGGGAGGTCCTACAGGATGCAGGAGGAACTGGAGTGGTGCAGGGGGAGCCATACCATGTGTAGCATCAGGCCAGGGGAGTGAAGAAGACAGCACTGCTCAGGGAATGATCACGGCAGTGGGATTTCAGCTGTCACACCAAAAGCACTAACACCGAAATTGAAAATTAAAATGCTCATACTTGCCTAGTAGAAGAGACACCACGATGAAGAAGGCGTTTTCCCAGGGTGAGGCTCATTCATTGTACTCCAGATATGCTGATTCCTGTGATTTCATCAAATGCAGGAAACTCAATTTTGTGACTTGTGGTAGTGGGAGACTGTCTTTACGCTCTCTCCTGACATCTTAATGTGAGTTATATATTGTTTTAAACTTTACTCAGTTGTAATGTGGCTTTTGACCTGGCTTGTACTTTTAAAATTTTTGCTTATTTTGTGTATAGACAAACCTGTGCCGTGGCATGAATATGGAGGTCAGGGGGCAACTCCCAGGAGTGGGTTCAGTGGATCAAACAAAGGTGCGTGGCCAGTGACTTTACTCAGTGAGCCATCTTGCTGGTCCTGTATTTTTAAATTTTTGGTGATTTAAAATAATGATTAGACCTCATCAAAATTAAACTTTGGTCATTATCGAGAGTGAGAAGATAAGCCACAGAATGGGGTGAATTCTTACAAATCAATATCTGATAAGGGACTTAGATCCAGGACATACAAAATCTCTGATAACTCAACATAAAGACAAACAATCCCATTAAAAATGGACAATGCACGTGTGTGAGGAGAGGCTCAGGATCACCTGTCAAAGTAAATCAAAACAAGCTACCAAGAGAGTCGAAACACAAAGGCAGACAGTAAAGTGTTCATAAGCAGGGGATGTTGGCATCTCCTCCTTCAGTGCTGGAGACAAAACAGGTGCACTTTGCTGTGCAAAATATCCAGGTGGATCTTCAGACAGTTAAATACAGAGTCACTGTACCCAGCAATCCTGCCGCCAGGCGCAGCCTAGACCTGACCACAGCCATTCAGGCTTCTCCCGTGTTACCGTGGCACTGGTCGCCACAGGCCAAAGGTGGAAGCTGAAGTCCACACACTGATGAACAAACAGACCTACTGGGGGCCATCCATGCAATGGAACGACACATGCTCCACACATGAACCTCACACACACGCTAAGGGAAATAAACTAGACACAGAAGGCTAAACGTCCTATAACTCTGTTCTTATGAAGTATCTATAGGAGGCAAATCCAGAGTCAGAGAGCGTGTGGACAGCATCTTTGTTGTGACTGATGCTGAGTATCCACCTTGGATCATTTGGAGGGATATCACTGAAGTTCTTTGTGCATTTTTGTGTTTTTAAAGATTTATTTATTTAAGGATAGGCGTGGTGGCACACGCCTTTGATCCCAGCACTTGGGAGGCAGAAGCAGGTGGATCTCTGTGAGTTCGAGGCCAGCCTGGTCTACATAGTGAGTTCCAGGACAGTTGGGGCTACAAGGAGACCCTGTCTCAAAAAAACAAAAAAGACTTATTTATGTGTGTGTGTGTGTGTGTGTGTGTGTGTGTGTGTCTACAGACATGAGCATGCCATGGCACATTTGTGGAGGTCAGAGGACAAATCTTGGAATTGATTCTCTCCTGTCCCCTTGTGGAATCTGGGGATTGAACACAGGTGTCAGGTGGGCACACAGGTGCCTCTACCCACTGAGCCACCTTGACCATCCTGCTGGATCTTAATATATTCTGTGACTATTAACTCCTTGTCAAATCAGTAACTTTAAAACATTTTCTTCTGTTTCATGGTCTGCCTTTTAAAAAATGTGTATATGTGTGTATTTCTGTGTGGGTATGCTCATGTGTATGCAAGTGAGCCTGTGGAGGCCAGAGGGGGCGTCTGATCCCTGGAGCTAGAGATACAGGCAGTTGTGAGCTGCCTGATGTGGGTGCTTGGAAGTAATCTCTGGTCCACTGCAAAAGCAGCAAGCACTCTTGACCACTGAGCCATCTCTCTAGGCCCCAGTCTGTCTTGTTACTTTCCTGATATTGTCTGTTCACGTAGAAGAATCTCCTCCGATGAAGATCTGCTCATCTGCTTTGGGAGTTACCTGTGCTTTGTGCTCATTGATGGGCCAACACCATGAAGCATTTTCTCAGAAAAGTTTTTAGGATTTTAGTTGTTAGGTCTTTGATAGATTTTCAATTTTTGTGTATGGTATCTTCATTCTTTTGCATGAGGACACCAGTTCTCCCAGCTCTTCTTCCACTGCATGGTCTTGATACCCTTGTTGGAAGCTCGTTTACTGGTGGCAACGTGCAGCAGTACACACCTGTTACCCCAATACTTGCAGGCTTGTCTAGATAGTGAGTTATTGTCTTAAAAACACTGAGCATATATGTGAGGGCTTATTTCTGAGCTCTTTATTCTGGTATATGTGCCTGACTTGGTGTCAGCATCATGCTGTTTTAATTAATTAGTTATTGGTCTTTTTGAGACAGGGTCTCTCTGTAGCCCCAGCTGGCCTAGAACTCTCTATGTAGAACAGACTGGCCTCGATCTCACAGAGATCCACCTGTCTCTGCCTCCAGAGTGCTGGGACTAAAGGTGTGTGTAACCATGCCCAGTGTTTTATTTTTGATAGCTCTGCAGTTAGTTTGAAATTGGGAAGTGTGAGTGTACTAGCGGCTTTTCTTGTTGCTGTGACACAATACCTGACAGAAGCAACTTAAGGGAGGAAAATAAACCGCATTTTGGTTTATGGTTTGGGGGATATAGGCCATTATGGTAGAGAAGGCATAGCAGCAGGCATGTGAGTTCTCTGTTTACATCATGTCTGTCAGGAAGCAGAGAGTGATGAACTCTGGTACTCAGCCGCCATCCTTCTTTTCCCCTTTTCATTCAGTCTGGGACCCAGTGGGACGCTGCCTCTAACATTCCTGCTTTGTCTTCCCTCCTCAGTTAAACCTCTCTGTAAACACCTTCACACAGACACACCCAGAGGTATTATAGATGGTTCTAGACCAGTCAGGTTGACGATGAGGGTGGAGCATCACAGCAAATACTCCAACATCATTCTTCTGCAAAGGTAAAGAGAGTCACCCAGGCTGAAATAAAAAAGTAGACAGTGGGAGCTGGAGAGATGGTTCAGCAGTCAAGAGCACTGATTACTCTTGTAGAGGACCCAGGTTTGATTCTCAGTACCCACATGGCAGCTAACAATTATCTGTAACTCCAGTTCCAGGGCATTGCATGACACGGGTACACTTACACACATGTAGACAACATACTCATACATGTAAAAAAAAGAAAATGCAAAAGACAATTACTAATTTTGGTTTTAGCCCCCAAATGTAGAAAGGTGTAATTTATTTCTTTTAATTTTTTAACATATTATTTATTTTATGTGTATGAATATATTGCCTACATGTGTGTAAGTGCATCTGTGTCGTGCAGTGCCCACAGAGGTCAGAATAAGGTGTTGGATTCTCTGGAACTGGAGTTATGGACGGTTGTTAGCTACCACGTGGGTACTGGAAATCAAACCCGGGTCTTCTGCGAGAGGAACCAGTGCTCTTAACCGCTGAGCATCTCTCTAGCCCCGAAAGATGCAATTTGTGATACCAACAACAGAAAGGAGGTTACTGGGCTGAATAGAGGCTGAGTTTTTAATTCCTCTGTGGGTAACTGCCAAAAATTCAAATTGGAATGTTTAAACCTTAGGATGTTATATGTGATGCAGTCCCCATGGTAACCACAAAGTAGCTATAAAGATATGCAGTAGGAAACAAGCTGAGAATAAAACATTTCACTACAGAAACACAAAAGGTGGCTGGAGGGGGCTGGAGAGATGACTCAGTGATTAAGAGCACTGGCCACTCTTGCACAGGGCCTGGGTTTGGCTCCCAGCACTCACATGGTAGTTAGCAACCATTCATAACTCCAGTTTCAGGGGATCCAACACCCTCCATGGGTGTTGCATGACATGGGTTCCCTTACTGTATGAGTTCGAGGTCAGACTGGTCCATATAGTGAGTTCCAGGATAGCTGGGGCTACAGGAAGACCCTGTCTCAAAAAGTAAAAAACAAACAAAACTAATACAGTTTCACAATAGGCTCTCTGCAAGAGACTCAGTTTAGAGGCAAAGACACAAATAGATTAATAGTTTAGAGAAAAACAACATTCTATGCAAACAATAACCCAAAGAGGGATAGCTATACTAATATCAGACAAAGCAGATCTTTCAATTTAAAAAAAGAAAAAAAAAACATTACATGTAAACAAAAGTCTCAATATCAGAACAAGATATAATGACTATAAAAATTAATACACGTTGTGGAAGACCATTAAATCTGAAGCAGACGAGAAAATCAAAGAAATAAACAATTCCACAATAACAGTTGGAAACTTTAGTATCTCACTTCAATAATGGATGTAATATCCAAACAGAGTTAAGCTAGGATACAGAGGACTCAAACAAAGTAAACCAGTTAGATCTACCAAGCGCAAGAACAACAAAACACAAGTCCCCATGCATCACTAGGACAAACACACACTGGGCCACAGAGTAGGCTCCAATAAATTAAAATGACACCGTACAAGGAATCTGTGACCATAGCAGGACACAGTTAGAAAGAAAAGCCGGGCCGCGGTGGCGCACGCCTGTAGTCCCAGCACTCAGGAGGCAGAGGCAGGCGGATCTCTGTGAGTTCGAGGCCAGCCTGGTCTACACAGTGAGTTCCAGGACAGCTGGGGCTACAGGGAGACCCTGTCTCAAAAAAAGATCCCCCCCAAAAAAGTTAGAAAGAAAAGAAGGAAAACTGAAAAAAACCTCAAATGTGGAAATTAACACCCTGTCAAAGAACGGACTTGTCTAATGAGAAATCACAGGGGAAAATGAAAACACAAACAGCTGGGCATGCTGCACACCCCTGATTCCTGGCACTCAGGATGCTGAGGCAACAGGATTGTAAGGAGTCTGAGGCCAGCTTGGTGAGTTGGGGCCAGCCTGGGTACAGAGTGAAATCTTGTCTCAATATGCCAAAACATAGGGGTTACGATGAAAACAATGCTAACAAGGGAATTGTAGCTGATGGTGCTTAGGTTAAAGAGAAAGACCTCAGATTAACAAACAAACACCTTAGGAACTACAAACCAGAGAGCAAAAGGAGCCCAAAGCAATAATAAAGAGCTCAGCAGAAGGCCGGGGAGATGACTCGGTCAGTGACGTGCTTGCTGTGCAAACATGAGGATCTGAGTTCCTTCTCCAGAACCCAAGTAAAAATAAAAAGCATAACATGGATGCACTCACACAATGCAGGCGATACGGTCATACACATTAAACAA